CTCGTGGTTCAAAGCCAGTCCTGGCAGGCAGGTGTGAGACTCCCATCTCCAATTAACCACCAGCAGCTGGGCTGGTAGAGCAGCAGCCTTGAGAGAAAGAGCTGCAGGGCAGGGCTCAGGCCCTGAGTTCAAGCCTTAGTCCTGGCATGTGCGCACACGCGAACACACACACACACACACACACACACACACACACACACACGGTGGAGTTGGGGTATGATTACTTATGGGGTGTACCCCCTCATAACATGGCATGCACAGCCACCTGCCACCTCCTCCCCCTGCCCGTGAAGTGGTGTTGGGAGCACCACTAACAAATATAGAAATCGAGGATCAGAGAGGTTACGCCACTTGTCCAAGGACACACAGAATAAACCGGAAGATATCTGTGCAGCCCGGCCTCCCAACGGCTCTCCCCTTGTCTTCATGTTATTTAGGCTGAATCCTGGACACGGTTGGTGCAGGATGGTGGGCTGACAGGGTTTCCCTCATTTCCCTCCTGGGGTCACCTTCCAGCCACAACCCCCCCCCCCCCCCCCCCGCACCTCTCCCAGCTTGGCCAACGGGCTCTGAGACTGAGTTGTCAAGCAGGAGATAGGAAGGAAGAGAAAGCAATTTCCTCTGTTTCTTGGCCCGGGTCTAGGCAGTCAATACAGTTAACAGTAAATCAAATATCAAGACTGCATTGACCCGGGAAAAGGCCAAGGAGAGAAAAAAAAAAATCCACAGTAGAATCCAAAAAAGTAAAAAAATAAAGTTCAGCCCAATGCGTAAATCACACCTGGGGAACTGAGTCTGCTCCACAGGCAGCAGCAGAGCCCCAGGCGCCTGGAACCAGCCGGGCTCCCCACACAACGGCCTCCGGCTGTTCCTTCGGGCGAACCTGGGGGAGAAAGCGTGGAGAGGAAGGGCTGGAGGTGTCTGGTTTGAGTTCCTCTGTCAACCTACGGCCCTCGGCTGAGCTGGCTCCTGAGCAAAAAGCTCAGGGATGGGCAGGGTAGTGCATGCCTGCAATCCCAGCTCTTGGGAAGCCAAGGTAGGAGTATTATGAGTTCTTAGTAAGACACACACACACACACACACACACACACACACACACACACACACACACACACACACACACACACAGAGCAACCCCTCAGCCACAGTCCAATGGTAGCACCATTCATCATTGTCTTTATTCAACGAACATTAGGTACCACTGTGTTCCAGGCACTGTGTGGAGGCCCTGGGGATACAGCTGGGAATAAGCTTGGTCCCGACTTAACTGAAAGCCCCCTGAACTGAGTTTTGGGGGTGATGAAAGTTGCACGGTCAGAAGACAGAGGGGTGTGGGACGCTGGGGGAGGGCTGAGTTCACTTCAGGAGACTTAGGGTGGATGAGGACAGGCACCCAGGGGACAGCGGGGAGGAGAGGATTCCCAGGCAGAGGGGAAAGCAGAGCAGGTGCAAAGGCCCTGTGGCAGCTGTGCCTGGGGCGCTCAGGCTGGATGTAGCATAGCGAGAGGAGGGTGGTAAAGGTGGGGTTGGGTTTGTATTGGTACTCAAGGCCTGGGACAAGGCAGGGAGTGTGTGTGTGTGTGTGTGTGTGTGTGTGCGTGCTTGCTCACGTGCACACGCATTCGCCCTGGTCCTGGGGCTTGAACTCAGGGCCTGGGCGTGCTGTCCCTAAGCTTTTTTTTTTGCTTAAACTAGCCACAGCTCCATTTCCAGTTTTTTTTTTTTCTGGTTCACTGGAGATAAGTATCGTGGAGTTTCCTATCTGGGCTGGCTTCGAACCGGGATCCACAGATCTCAGCTTCCAGAGTAGCTAGGGTGACCGGAGCCAGCGGGCTGTGCTAAGTGAGGCAGCTTTCCCGCCCTCTGCTCCCGGCAGTCCCGCAACTGACCACGAGGTGTCGCCGTCGGACCACGGTACCCGGACCGCCCTGCGCGCACGCGCGAAGGATGCAGATGGGTTTCCCACCCGGGGGCCCGTGCCCGCCCGCGCGGCTTTGGGTACGTGTACCACGAGGACTCCTCCCGTCCGCCTCTTCCCGGGCCCGCGCGCTCCCAGCCCAAAGGTGGCTGAACACTATGTCAGGGGCTGTGAGCGCCCTACTGCGTGCTGTGAGCGCCCTACTGCGTGCTGTGAGCGCCCTACTGCGTGCTGTGAGCGCCCTACTGCGTGCAGGGGCCCCAGCCACTCAGTCTCCAGCCAGGGCATCTTGGGGCGAGGTGGTGTGACTTCTCAGCCCATTTTGTACCAGGGGGAAACTGAGGCTCGGCGCTGGGAAACCTTTCTTCCCCATGGCTGTGGGATTTGCCCGAAGCCGGCTTGGTCTTTCTCCCAGGTTTATTGGGATGATAAGTTCTTGGGGTGCACAGATCTGAGGTCGGCTTTCTGCTGGCTGGTGGCGTTCTCAAAGTCTGTGTGGCCGGCACCATACCCCTCCCAGGGGCACCCCAAGACTTGCAACAGTTGCTCCTAATTCTTCCATTCTAATCCCCTTGTCCCCCATCTTCAGCTTGTCATAACCCAGCGTCTGTTCTTTAGTTTTGTCCTCTTGCCTGTGCTGGGCCCTTCATCTACACGGAGCCCCGGAGAAGGTGGCTTTTCTCCATCATGTTCATCAGCGTGGTGGAGTGAATCAGGGAGCCATTCCCTTTTCACTGCCGCATAATATTCCACTGAATGGGCATACCGCAGTTGTGTTTGCTTGCCTGCTGCAGGGCCCGCTCTGGCGATCGTGAACAAGGGCCCGGGAAGCTCTGGTGAGCTCCTAGGCGTTGGATTCCTTTGGGCACACTCCTGGGAGTGGAATTCCCGAGTCTTGTAGCAATGTCACATTTGATGGTTTGAGGTGCGGCGGGCTGCTTCTGGGATGGCTACACTCCTTTTAATATCTCCTGCCGGCTGTGTGAGGCGGCGGGCTGGGTTTTTCCCCCTTCATCATCCTTGCCAATGGTTGTTACTCTCTGAGGTTTTTTTTTTTTTTTTTTGGTTGGTCATGGGACTTGAACTCTGGGCCTGGGCGCTGTCCCTCAGCTCTTCAGCTCGAGGCAAGCGCTCTACCACTGGAGCCACAGCGCCACTTCTGGTTGGGGATAAGAGTCTCATGGACTTTCCTGCCCAGGCTGGCCTTGAACCGTGATCCTCAGATCTCAGCCTCCTGAGTAGCTAGGGTGACAGGCGTGAGCCACTGGCGCCCAGCTCTCTCTGAGATTTTGATTCTGGCTCTCAAGGGGTGTGCAGCATATCTTGTTGTGGTTTAGATTTCTCAGACGACCAGTGGTATCAAAACATCAGTTCAAGGGAGGATGGGCCGTTTGTGTGTCTTCTTTGGAGAAACATGGACTCGTATACCACATGCCTTTTTCTTTTATTGCGAAAGTTGGGTTTTCTCCTTGTTGTTGGATTGTAAGAACTCTTTATATGTTGTGCACACCGCTCCCTTATTTGAGAGAGAGGCAGATACGGTCTCCCGTCCTGCGGAGTGCGGTCTTTATGCTCCGTGCTGAGCCGTGGCGTCCTCTGAGCGGGGCTGCTGGGGCCGTGGGCACCGTCCAGCTGTCCTGGGTGGGTGAGGAGGAGGGATCTGGACAGGACTCAGAGGTGCGCTGGGCTGATTGGGGTGCAGAGCGGGGGGGGGGGGAACTGTGGCCTTGGAATTGAGTGCGTGTGGTTCTAGCCCTGGGCAGGAGGTGGCCAGGTCCTGGGTGGCGTGCGTGCATGCATGTGCATGCATGTGTGTGTGCGCGCACGCGCGCGCACTCGGTTGATGCCATCCAGCCTCAGTTTCCCCACCTGTACCACATGGAGGTTGCTGTGGATCACGCGAGGCGGGCAGGCGTGTGGAGCGAGGTCTCTCCCTCGTCTGCTCCTGCCCTGGGGTGCGGCCCGTGGCTGGGGGAGCCCCAGCGCTTGCAGGAGGAACACAGAGGGGGTGGCCTGGCGCCCATCATCTCCTCCGGGACTCCCGGGCTCCCAGATTCCCAGGGAGGGGGGGTGCCCAAGGGGGGGCACCAAGATCCCAGGGCAGGGCAGGACACCTGGACGGCTCAGAGAGGGCGGCCAGGGCGTGGGGTCACACAGTGCCAGGCTGGGACCCCTGGGATCATGACCCGGGGAGCCGAGGCCCGGGCTCCGCTGTGCGGGGATCTGGCTACTCTCTGGGACAAGGCGATGTGCCCAGGCCCAGGCCCAGGGCTCCAGGCTGAGCCTTGGAGCCGATGCTTTTTAGGGCCCTGGAGAGCCGGGGCGCTGGCTGGGGGGGGGGTAGGGGGAGGGGAGGAGATTGATTCCAGCTCCCAGGGCCGCAGGTGGCCAGGCAGCGATTGCAGAGCCCAGCAGCGGGAGATGAGAAGCCCCCGGGTCAGGGCTGGGCTGACCCTGGGCCCAGAGCCTGGGTTGGGCGTCTGGAGGGGGAATGGGGGGGAGGGGGTTGCAGCCAGCCAGGTCTGCCATCCTGGGCTGGGGGAGGAGGGGAGAGCTTCACACATGGCTCAGGGCCCTTCCAGAAGTTTCTTTCCCTGGGTGCTGCTTTTGCTTGTGTTCTGTGCAGGGCGCTGGGCTTCTAGCAGGCAGGGTGTGGAATTCCTTCGGGACGTGGCCAGGGTTGAAGGTGACAGCTGTGGCTCCCCTGGGGGGGTGGAGGGGCGAGCCCAGAGTCCAGGGCTGGGCCCCGAACCCCCTTTTCTGCTCCTGGACTTTCCTGCCCGGGCTGGCTTTGAACCAGGATCCTCAGATCTCAGCCTCCTGAGTCGCTAGGATGACAGGCCTGAGCCACTGGTGCCAGCCATTGCCTGGTTTTGTACACGGGGACAGGGAGGCCCAGACCGGGGAGGGCTGGGCTGGACCAGAGCCCAGTCGGTTAGTGCAAGGCCAGGCCTGGACCTGGGGGGGGGTCTCTTCCTTCCCTCCACGGCTGCTGGGTCCACCCCGTGCGGGTATGGGGGGCAGCGCGGGGTGGGGGGCTCGGGTAGATCTGGATCTCGGGGTTAAAGTAAGTGATCTTGACCAGGCACTGGTGCTCACGCCTGCAGTCCCAGATGACTCAGGAGGCTGAGATCTGAGGATCACAGTTCGAAGCCAGCTGGGGCAGGAACGTCCCCATGAGACCCTTGATCTCCCAGGAACCACCACCAAGCTGGAGGTGGAGCTGTGGCTGGAGCGGCAGAGCGCCGGCCTTGGGTGAAGAAGCTGAGGGACAGCGCAGAGGCTCTGAGCTCAAGCCCCAGGGCTGCACGGAGCTTGCGTGGCTCCCTGAGCCATGTGGCGTGGCCCCTCAGTGCTCAGTGCTCACGTGGCATCCGGTCCCCGGGTGGAGAGTGGTGGGGCATGCTGGGAATTCTGCAACCTGACAGGGCCTCCTCCTCCAGGAAGCCCTACTGACTGCTCAGAAACTTCCCGTAGCCCTGGGGCTCACCTGCACCGACCCCCACCCCACAGAGTCTCACCAGCCAAGACAACCAGAATACCTGTGGAGTTCAAGGGGGGCTTTCCCTCCCTCCCCTCCCTCCCTCCCTCCCTCCCTCCTTCCTTCCATCCTTCCTTCCTTCCTTCCTCTTTCTAGCAGTATAGGTGTTTGAACTCAGGGCCTTACACTTGCTAAGCGGGTGCTCTACCACTTGAGCCACACCTCCAACCCTTTCTACTATACTTATATTTTTTCAAATAGACTCTTGCTTCATGCCTGGATTTCCATCCTTCTAATCCCCACCTCCAGGGCAGCCAAGGTTACAGGCATGAGCCACGGTGCTTGGCTGGGATACTCTTTTCTATTCTTTCCCTGAATCCAGGGCCTGGGCGCTGTCCCTGAGCCTCTCTCTGTGCTCAAGGTGAGCACTCTACCACTTGAGTCACAGCGTCGTTTCTGGCTTTTTCTGAGTGGTTTGTTGGAGATCAAGAGTTTCATGGACTTTCCTACCCTGGCTGGCTTCAATTCTCATCCTCAGGTCTGGGGATGACAGGCGTGAGCCACGGCGCCTGGCCGTGTTTTAGATTGCAGCAGGCGGAGTCAATGCGCGGAAAGCCTGCGGGTGCCAGGAGCCGACCCCGTGACCCCATCCCTGCGCGCAGGGCCACAGCCCGCAGATCGGTTCTCGCCGTACGTAGCTCGGCGCCACGTAGACCACCGTCTTCCTAAGATACTGGTGGTCTGGACAGAAGATGCACACCTGGTCTTTCCAAGTCTGGGTGTGGGTTATCCTGAAGAAAACTCTCAACCACAGACGCTGGCGAGGACGTGGGGGACGGGGAGGGCACCCCGGTGCCGTGGCCACCAGCGTCCACTCCGGAGGCCACTGTGGGGTCGGCAAGTGGACAGCATCCCCAGGACCTGCTGTGGTGCCCCTGGGCCCAGGTCTGAAGGCCGGCCCCTCCTCCCATTGGTCAGGACAAGTCACGTGACCCCCATCTGGGATGGGTGGGGATGGCATGGTGGAGGGAGGGCCCTCCTCTGCCCTGGAGGGGTGGGAGGGGCGCCAGGATCTCAGGGTGGGGACGGGGGGGGGGGGTGGCCCTGCCAGGGCCCCCTCACCCCTCTTCAGCGCCCTGCCGGGAGAAGGATGCCCATCTGATCAGTGGCCTCTGACTCCGACGAGGTCGAGAGATGAGCCCCGTTTTTCCCGTGGCGCGATTTACAGTGGGCTAGCCTGGGACCCCGGCCCGGCCTCCATGCCAGAGCATCGCCTTGTACACTGTCTAATAAAGCAATAAAGACAAGGACGTGCCTGAATGATGTGCCTATTAACCGTGCTAATGGGATTTTTCTTTCTTCGCTTTTCTTTGGGGGGGGGGGGTAACATTGTTTTCTGTTAGAATGCAAAAAAACCCCCAAAAACACGCATAAGGAGACTCGTTTCCATTCCAGTCTCTGCCAGGCCCCTGACACGTTCGGCGACTCACGCCGCGTCCAGCAAGTCAGCTCGGAAAAGCTCATCAGATACAATTTCAAAATACAGTCATTTTTGGGGTGGTGCCGTGGAGACTGAGAGCCTGCATGGCTTCGGAGGGAGGAGAAGGTGGAAAAGAGGGACAGATGTGGGGGGGGGGGTGTCAGAAATGACTGGCCGTGGGTCAGCTTCGGAGGTGAGGGGCTTGAACCCAGGCCCTGTCCTTGAACTTTGTATTGTTTTCTTTCTCAAGGTTCGTGCTCTACCACTCAAGCCGCAGCTCCACTTGTGGCTTTTTGGTGGTGAGCTAGAGATCAGAGTCTCACAGACTTTCTTGCCTGGGCTGGCTTTGAACTGCGATCCTCACAGCTCAGCCTCCTGAGTAGCTGGGATTATAGGCGTGACCAGTGGAGCTGTTAATTACCCCTGCCCTGCATCCTCCCAGCTCCGTTCCTGTACCTCTCTCTCTTTCTCTCTCTCGTCAGTCCTGGGACTTGAACTCAGGGCCTGGGTGCTGTCCCTGAGCTCTTTTTCTCAAGGTTAGCACTCTACCACTTGGAGCCACAGCTCCACTTCCAGTTTTCAGGTGGCTCATCGGAGATAAGATCTCATGGACTTTCCTGCCCAGGCTGGCTTTGAACCACCATCCTCAGATCTCAGCCTCCTGAGTAGCTGGGATTTCAGCCAGTGAGCCACCGGCTCACTTCTTAATGTTTAATTCTAAGCAGAAGCCAGTACACTGACATGATCGGAAGGTTGCCAGGAGTTCAGGGGGCTGGGGCGGGTTCTCGAGCCCACGGGAAGATGATTGAGCAGTTCACACCTTCCTCGTTCAGGTTGGTGTCCCTGGGGCTGCGTAACACAGCGTCCACTCTGACCGTGGGCCTCGCTGGTCACCTGCGGCCTCCACTGGGGGTCCAGGCCCCGCGTCTCCAGTGGCCTGGGGGGCATCAAGAGGTGATCAAAAGAGCTGACAGGAGCAGAAAGCCGAGCAGAACAACAGGAAACGATCCTCAAATATAAACTAAGCTAGACCTCTGTCTGTCTGTCTACCCGTCTGTCCATCTAGCTATCCATGTGTCCATCCATCCATCAGTCTATTCATCTGTCTATCTATCTATCCATCTAGCTATCCATCCATGTGTCCATCCATCCATCAGTCTATTCTCTATATGTCTGTCTATCTTTCCATCTATCCAACCATCCATGTGTCCATCCATCCATCAGCCTATCTATTCTCTGTCTGTCTCTGTGTTTGTCTGTCTGTCTATCCATCCACATGTCTATCCATCCACATGTCCATCCATCCATCAGTCTATTCTCTATCTGTTTATCCATCTTTCCATCTATCCATCCATGTGTCCATCCATCCATCCATCCATGTGTCCATCCATCCATCCATCTATTCTCTGTCTGTCTCTGTGTCTGTCTGTCTGTCTGTCTGTCTATCCATCCACATGTCTATCCATCCACATGTCCATCCATCCGTCAGTCTATTCTCTGTCTATCCATCTTTCCATCTATCCATCCATGTGTCCATCCATCCATCCATCCATCTATTCTCTGTCTGTCCATGTGTCTGTCTGTCCGTGTGTCTGTGTGTGTCTGTCTGTCTATCTATCTATCATCTATGACACCTTGCGTTTATTTATTCCTGTGGTGACCGCTCCCTTTCTCAGGGGTCAGGCCAGGTACGCTTTGGCCTCGGGGAGCGAATGAAGAACCTGCCACGCGAAGCAGATAAGGCGCAGCCCCAGCCAAGGACAGGGCAGTGACGGAAGATGAAGACCAGAAAATTCCCTCTGAGCTGTGGGCCAGATAAGGGGTGCGGGGGGGGGGAGTAGGAGACGGGGGGGGGGGGTAGAGGGTGGGGATGGGGGGGGACTGACCCAGGAAGGCATGAGGTGGGGAAAGAGAACATTTGCAAAGAACAGACAGCCCTGAACGAAGGAGCAGCCAGAGAAGCAGAAGCAGGTGGGGGTAAGCCCACGGCCGGAGCTCAAGGAAGCCATGACCCGGCCCGCGCTTCCCCCGGGACACCGTGACCCTCCCGGTGCAGAGGGAGGTGGTGTGGACCTCAGAGGGGCCAGGCCGCTTCCCCCCTTCCTCCTGTTTTGGGGGAGCCCTGGGAAGAGAGCTGGGAGGAGGGGTGACTCCCCGGGCAGCAACCGGCACGCAGGGAACCCCATCCCCCAGGCCCCCCACCAGAGCCCAGCCTTCAGGTGAGACCGCAGCCTGGCCTCCATGGACCAGCCCCGTGGAGAGGCGGGGGGGGGGGGGCTGTACCTCCAGGGCCAGCCATGGACAAGTTCCTGACTCTGGGGGCAGCTGGGACCTGTGGCCGGGCCAAGGGGCCATTTCAAGATGCCGGGTTTGGGGGGGGTGTATCGTACCCAGCCCCACCGATGCCTTCCGTGCAGTCTGCGGCCAGCCCCCCGGAAGGAAGGCACAGAGCAGGGGCGACGGGTGCCCCTGCCCCCCGAGACGTGCTGGAAGTACGCTTTTGCAATGACCCAAAGTGGTCTTCTTCCTCCTTTGAGGGGTGTGCGTGACCCACAGGCAGGGGCCTCGTCTCCATGGCTCCTCTCCCGCTGGTAGCGCACCCCTCGAATCTCTTCCTTATTTTATCCCCTCTGCCCCCTGCCCTTAAATAGTCCTTTTCTGTGTGTGAGGGGAGTTGGGTCCTGAGCCTTGAACTCTGGGCCTGGGCGCTGTCCCTCAGCTCTTCAGCTCAAGGCCAGCACTCTACCACTTGAGCTACAGCGCCACTTCTGGTTTTCTGTGGCTCATTGGAGATAAGAGTCTCACAGACTTTCCTGCCCTGGCTGGCTTTGAACCGCGGTCCTCAGATCTCAGCCTCCTGAGTAGCTAGGATGACAGGCGTGAGCCACTTCTTACATAGCTTTAATGGATTTCATTGCTCTGTGCTCATAGATGCACAGGAGTTACTTCAAGACACTCACCCCTTCCCAGATCCCTCCCTGCTGGTCTGCACCCCCAAACAACTCAACTCAAAGACCCCTGAACAGTCCAACGCAGTCATAGATGTGAGCCCCAATCCCCAGCCTGTCCACACCCCTGCCCCCCCCTCCCGCCCCCGTGGAGCTGCGTTGATACCTTTACAACTGTGTGCTTCTGGGAGGGGGGCCGGGCTGGAGCCACTGGGAAGCTCAGCACCCAGAATCTCCTCCCAGATCTCCTAGATCCCAGGTTCCATCCAGACTCAGCCGAGCCCCGGGCTGGAGGGGCACCCGGTGCCGGGAGTCAGGACAGGACTCCCGCCACCCCCCTAAAAACACACAGAATAGCC